GAAAACCAAATTCAATATGTGATTCTGGACTGGATTGTCTTTTTAAATAACAGTAATCTGGGGCACAGCTGGAAAATTTGAATGGGGCCTGAGGATTATATAATGGTGATGTTAACTTTCTGATTTTGATGGCTGCACTGTGGTCATATGACAATGCCTTTGTTTGTAGAAAATATACCAAGTGTTTAAAGAACAAGCGGGCATCGTATCAGCATCTTACTCTCAGAGGGGTTCAGAAAAAAAGCTCCTTCTATTGTACTTGCAATTTTTGTGTGGTTGAGGCTGTTTCAAAATAGAAAATAAAAAGAACGGTGAAGAAAACCCTGAGAAAAGAAAGTGATGAGGCAGCATTAGCTCTACTATAGAGCCTTGATAAATACAGCTGTATGGCTCAGGTACCTGAACCAACACACCTGTGCTAAAGAAGAGGCTCCAGAATTACAGAAAAGTCACAATTAAAATCACTGAAAATAAAATGAATGTATTAAAAAATTACTGCGCCCAGCTGGCATGGCTCAGTAGTTGAGCATCAGCCTATGAACCAGGAGGTCTTGGCTCGATTCCCAGTCAGGGCACATGCCCGGGTTGCAGGCTCGATCCCTATTAGGGGGCATGCAGGAGGCAGCTGATCAATGACTCTCTCATCATTGATGTTTCTCTTTCTCTCTCCCTCTCCCTTCCTCTGAAATCAATAAAAACATATTTTTTGAAAAATTACTGAAACAACTAGAGAACAATTGGGAAAAGGTAATTTTGAATTCATACCTTTTTCTAATTTCAAATGGATCAGTCAAATGCAAAAAAAAAAAAAAAAGAAACATAAGTACTAGAAGAACATGTGGGTGAATTCTTTTATAACCCAGGATTAGAAAAATCTAATTATGACTCAAAACAAAAAGCAATAGAAGATCAATAAAATTCTACCTCCAAAATATAAAACTCTCCTAGATAGCAAAAATCACAAGAAGCAAATAACATACTGAGAGAATGTATTAGCACATTGTATTGTACAGAACGGGTTAGTGTCCCTAAAATAGAAAAAAAGTTAAGAAGAAGAAAAAAAACCTCTTCAGGAGAAATGATCAAAAGACACAGAGAAGAATCACAGAAAAAGTGCAAATGACCTTAATTATATTTTTTAAAATTTTTAAAAACTGATGCCATCAATACTACAATATCTTTAACCACACCTAACTGTATGTCATACACACACACATTTTAAACTATTTCAATAAAATGGCATGTCTGAAATGTGGTTTTATAAATCTCAATAACAAAAAAGAGGAGAGTATCAATTAAATGCAATTAGCAAAATGTCAATAATAATTGACTCTAGGTGAATACATGAAGGCTCATTTTACTACTCTCATTTTAAAGCACTGGGATATTTGCATAATAAAAAGTTTTAAAATAGGAACTAGTTGAACACACTAGTTTAATAAAATCTATACAATGGAGTCTTAGGAGCCATAAACAAGGAGTTAGCAAGCTTTAACTGTGTTGGTATAATCATCAAGATTCACTGTTAAGTGAAAAACAGTAAGATATAGAACAGTATCTTTTGTTCAACAACAAAAAATATATATATATGTATACACATACTTATATATTCACACATACATTTGCAAAAAGAAATACTGGAGTAAGCCAGAAACTAATAAAAATGGCTACCTAGCATGGAAGGGAAAGTAATAAAAGCAAGGCTTCTGCATATACCTTTTTATATGTTTGAATTTGGAACTATGTAACTACTTTATATATTTAAAAATCCACTAAATCGAAAAGGAACTAAGCAAATCCTAAAACTGAAAACAAAGTATCTCAGTTGTATATAAAATTAGTATTGTAAACCAACAAAAATATTATTTCAAGTGACTTGAATACAGTACTCTGTACATCCTTGGTAGGATACACATAAGGATCAAGAGAACTGCAAAGAAACCTTAAGTTTTTACTCAGTATTCCTAATAGTAGCAACACTGATTGTAATTTTGAAAGTAAATTTTGTATATGGTAGAATGAAGAAAAAAATATCAGTATATGCATGCTATTAGAAACTAGTCATAACGAGTTGTGGCTATTTCACAACTCGTTACTCTCAAAATTAGTCATGAAAGGGGAAGAATTAAACATTTTCCATGCCCTTTTTTTCAGAGGAATTTTCCGTTGATGAGTAGAAGCCCTTCTTTAAAGAATGCCAGCAAATAAATGTAAAAAGGCAGGCAAAGTAGAAAATCAGAACACCCAATGAAATAATTGATTCAGGCAACTACCATCAGTGGATGGGTTTTTAGGGAACTGAATATTCATTTTGATGCCAAAACATCATCCTGCAGAGAACTGCTAAGCACACA